AACGCGTTTTTGCTTGTTTTGTTTTTCCTATCGAAATCTTATTGATGATTGACAAATGTGAGCAAAACCACCTTTTCTTACAACAAAGAAGAGATTTCGCATGCTTTGAGCTAGGTCCTATTAGACGGAAGTATTGATATTACAACGCGGTTTTTTTAATTTTCCGGCACTAGAGTTGACGCATTACGAATTTTTGCCGATATATATATAAATATATAAAAGTTATATACAAATATATTTAAATAATTTATTTTTTTTAATATTTTTGTTTTTGTAAAATTTTTAAAGCGCCTGTTTCAAATTTATAAATCGCATTTTTATTCGAATTTGAGTTCGGCATCGACTATCAGTGTAAGCAGCTGTATACACATGAGCTTCGTTTAATATAAGTAGAAAATTTAATATTTAAGACCTAAGTAAGTTCAGTCCAGAGGTAAGTTGACTGTCTCAGAATTATAAGTTCCTTCGTTCAAATCTACACTAGGGCAAAACAAAACAAGCAAAAACGCGTTTCTGGATAATAGGTGTCATTGATATAAAAACGGGTTGAACTGAATCAAAACAGAACAATTATAAACGTGGTTCAGTACCTAATACAACGTGTCAATGACATGAAAACGCGTTGTATTCCATTTTGTAAATTATTTTTCTTCCATGGAAATGCATTAAAACGCTCTTCATCTAAACGCATTTCACATAGTCAAAAATGTCCGAAATTACGCGTTATAATGCGCTTTCCATAAAATGCGTTAAAATGTCTTTTAATGAAACTTTTTATAACAAGTTTAATGTAAGAAAAAAGGACTCTGTTAAAACGCCGCTTTTCGGACATTTTTGACGGTGCGAAATGCGTCAAATAAAAGAAAAAAGGAACTGTTTTGATGCGTCAATTTCATATTTTTGACTGCATGGGTAGCGACGATCATCAAAATTTGTTTTTCGAATGAGATAACTGCATAAGACGATCTTTAAAAAAACCTATATCAGTTCACATGAGAAATGCAACATTTTCAAAGTATTGTATGCCGTATCATGTATGCCGTGAAAGAAGAAGACAGAATAATAAAACCATTTAACGATTTTACGAAGTAAAAGAAATCATCAACGTTAAAGAATGTATTAATATGATTATTCTTAACAATGTAATGCAATGGGACTGTCTCATCATACACAGAGTCTTACTCTGCAAGTCGATAATTACAATGAAAGGATTAGACCTAAGTACTAATCTTGAATATAGATAACATTCGAATGTGAAATGTAATTCAAGATAATATTCCTTTAATCCAAGGTAATGTGAAACCAATTCTACAACGAGAAGATTTACGAAAATTGGAAATGACTGGTGTATAAAAATGTCGATTTAATTTGATACGATTCATACACAAGTTTATTACTAACTCTTATACATATTCACTCATTCAATAAATTTCATCAAGCAGAATGGTTCGAATTCAAACAGTTCTTCTTGTTGTTGCTGTGGCTTTTCTCGTCATGGCAAATACATCTGTCAATGGACAATGCTATACGTCTTGCATCAGTGGTGGTTGTTGTCCATCAAGCCATCCTCAATGTTGTGTAGCGAATGGAGTAAAACTCTGCTGTCGTGTCAATCGTGCACTTACACGGGCGAGCGAAGCAGACCTCGATGAAAGTACATCACCACGTTACAACCTTGTTTCGCAGTAGTTGAATTGTTAGCGAAAGATTTGTTGTTATATGCATAATGAAAGCAATTTCAACGTTTTCGCTTTAAGAAATTTCTGTTTCTGAAATAAAAATGAGACAATAATCGAATTCATTCATTCTGTGTGTACTTTTCAAGATGGTCTCATGATATTAGAGAAGATTTATAACTGTACAACGGAAAAACAGAGAATATTTGTCTTTATACTTTCCTTATAAAAAGTACGAGATTAATGTTCTCCAATGTAGACAATTTCAATCACTCTTTCCGAAAAGATTTCGGGAAGATACGTCTATGTATCCTAGATGTTACCCAAATCCACACCTTCGCGATGTACAAGTAATATAATGTCCTCCAGAACGACCCGAAAACATGTAAACCTACAGTATTACAGTAGATTGTATACAAAGAATAGAAATTATATCAGATCATTGAATGAGTTCAATAGGCAAATCAGTGCCTTTGAAAAACAGGAGAAATATTCAATCGTAAAAAGATTATTTGGGATACAGACGCATGAATTCGGCAAAGTGGCCTCAATATGTTCTCAGAAATGTGAAACATATAAAAAGACAAGACTTTGTCGTACAAAATTTTAAGTGTTCAATCGAATTTCGTTGTGACATAGAAAAAGTTTTTTAAAAGCTTCAAAATGGCTTACTGTGTTTTTTATCTCACAGGTTCATACAGGGTGGCCCAACATTTTCGCATGAACAGAGAAAATTGAATATTTCCATCAAGACTTCGATCAAAAGAGCTGATTTTTCTATCAATGATAAAGGCATACTCAAGCTTTATATTCATGATGACAGGCTTAGATAGGCCCTCTGCTGAGTGACCCTTTTAACTTCAAGAAAAAAATTTTGCTTTTTCATGTATCAAAAACACAATATGCTAGAAACAGAGAAAAACTTTTTCAGAAAGAATGAGCAATATTTTAGGGTGTGTGTGTGG